TTATGGGGAAGGAGTGGTCTAGGAAGTAGATTGGGGGTCTCAGTGATCCAGTATTCCTTCCTGGGTGGCCCTGGTTGAGATTTCTATAGTTGCAAGAAGTTTTCACAGTCTGGAGAGTGAGCCAAAGTCTTTGCATCTGGGAGATGTAAAGGAGAGGTAAAGTCCAAGCCCTTGTTGAGGACCAAGGAACAGACTGAAACATCAAGTCCATTCTGCCTTGAGCTGGAAGAGCATGATGCCAGTGTAGATAATTTCCAAGGTATTTATATCATTTGCATTCCCTCCAGCAATGTATGAGGGTACCCCTGCTTGACATTCTCACCAATATTTGGTGTCTTTTTAATATATGTAGTTCTAATAAGTGTGGAATAATCTCTCATTGTGGTTTAATTTCCATTTCCTTTACTCTAGATGAAATTGGCCATTTTTTCATATTTTTATGAAACATTTTGATATCTTTTGCAAAGTGGCTGTGCCTTCTATGTGTTTTTATTTATTGGATTTGTCTTCTCTGATTGATACTGGATTTGTAAAATATCTGGATATAAGTCCTTTGTCGGTTACATCTATATGAAAATATCGCTTCCCATTTGCTTTTAATGGTGTCTTGATGAGCAGAGTTTCTCGATTTTAATGTGGTCACATTTATCACTCTTCATGTATCATTAGTACTCTCTGTAGCTTAAGAAATCCTTCTGTACCCTAATGTCTTAGGCTGGGCACCCTGGAGAACAGCCTCTGAGAAGGAGATGTGCATGCAGGGGGCTTAGTGGGGGAGTGCTCTCAGGAATCAGACCTGTATGGGGAGTGAGAGAAGCAGGTCTGTGCAAGGGGGGAGAGTCACACTGTGATCCAGTCACAACTGGGATTAGTCCCACAGGGAGCTATGGAATGTGCTACAAAGTTGTGCTAAGTTGAGGTGAGAGAGCCAGGCTGTTATACCCTGTATTATCCATAGTGGGAATCAGAGGTGAATAACTGGCAGCCAACACTGCTGGCAGCAGAGCAAATGAGTTATTTTGTCCTGTGGTACACCATAACAGCCACTACAGTCTACCCCTGGCGCCAGCTGAACCTACTGGCTTTGTAGGCTAAGTTCACCCCTGAGCTCTTCTAGACTTGTGTTTGGTCTCTGTCCTGGAAAAGTTTTAAAAGAGGTAGGTTGGCAGGATGAAACAGCTCCTGCCACTAAAGCAGACTTCAAGTTGCAACTTCTCTCCTTCCTGGACTATCCATTCTAGATGTTTCGCATCCTTAACTAACATATCTTCTGGTCTTGGTGGCTGATGAGATATTATAACCCAGATTCTCACCTCTGAGTTGTCTGAGTCCCTGGTCAACTTAGATCATTGCCACTGGTCTTATCGATTAACTATCAAATTTGGGAAGGGATATGTTACTGGATGGCCTAGCTGCCTGACATTTTCCTCCCTGGCTCATCGTGTAACAGCAACGGAGCCCTACCTCCTCCTGTGATAAGGTCACTTACCCCTGCCAGTATGGCATTTTTCTTAAATGCTGAATCTTGAAATAAGGAGGCTGGGTTGCCCTGGGAACTAGGATCCACTGAGCCTAAAATTCAGAGATGAGAAGTACACATTGTCTAAGTAAGTCAAAGGAAATAATGCTAAGCTGAATCACTCCTACTGTGTTTTCAGAATCATGTATTCTACTTATTGGGGACACAACATCATATTATGGATGTTGACCTAGGGTATATGTTACATCTTGGTGGATGGCTCCGCATCCTTACAGGACTCTCCTTTCTTAAGTGGAAGAATGGTGCTATTGGCCACTTTAGGAAATAGAATTCTTTATTTCACTGTTATCGTCCTTAATTGTGGAGTCAAAATTTTACATTTTAGATTTCTCCTATCATATCATTTATTTGAGTCTCCAAATATGGTATTCTATTTGACCTGAGTTTTCCCTAAAGTGAATTTTCCTAAGGAATCTGTCAGAATGTACATACAGTTCTCTTATGCTACACTTAAGAATTATAAACAAGCATTTTTCTCACATCCACATTTCCAACTAGTTCCTCCATATTGACTAGAATTGAGTCTAAAATAGTAATTCACCTCATTGCTGCTTCTGCCACCTGAGGGACAATATTTTTAGCAAGCAAAGATTGTACCAGATTGTGAGTTTGGCTTTCAGCTTTCTCCAGCAAAGCTGAGGATGACAGAAAGGATTACTCAAGACTTCACAAGTCAAGAGAGGTGAGAGGGAGGCTAAGGGAACTCTCTCCAAGCTGTTCTCAAGCTCCTGTATTTATGAAGCGTACATTCAGGGAAACGTTGTGCAATACATCAGTGGGCCAGTAAGAACGTACAGAAAGCATAGGGAAAGCATGCAGAAAAACAAGGCATTCCCAAGACTACAAAAGAGCAGATGCAGAAAGCAGAGTGGAGAACAAGACAAGATATTCCATAGATAACATGGTCTAAGGAATTTATGAGCACGGTCAGGACCCAACCTCTAGATATACATTAACTGAATATCGACCAGCCCACTGTTTTCAGCAAGGCCAGAAAGCAGAGTTCTGCTTTGTACTGTGTTCCCTATAATCTCCTAACTCAGGATATAGCTATTTGATTTCCAAACACCAGATATTCAGCTTTTAGAAAAGGCACTTTAATGGTAGCTGGATAAATGAAGACTCTCACTACTATAATTTGCTTCTGTACTGTGTCTTTATGAAATAAAGCATCATTTGTATATACTTCAGGCTAACGGTCAGTACCACACTCCTAACTGAGTCCTCGTCATTCTCATTTTCTTTATCCTAAATGTTCCTCCTGTTCAACCCCTGTTGATCTTTGAAAACCTAAGTTTATACTTTAATATGTATTGTTTGGGTTTTTTTTCCCCCTTGTAGTAAATCTATTTGGGTTCTACTCTTACACTTATCAGTTCCAGCCACAAAATCTCAGTGCCATTTCTGAGATTATATTTACCATCTCATATTAAACTTTATTCTTTCATACTATGCATATACCTGATAATGGAAGTATTTTTTATTTTTTCCCTTAAAGTTCTGGATTCTAGCCCAGGATTCTCCTCTTCCAGTGTACTTTTTGTTGTCACACTTGCTGTCATCCATAACATCTCATTTTGCGCAGTGTTTTGTGGGTGGGTTTTCTTGCCTCAATTTATATTCAAGCCTTATCAATCATGTTGCCAATTAATTAGCCAAAGAGGTATTTCTCATATTCCTGGAATGTGTGTCTCTTTTCCCAGCTATTTGATATCTGTGACTATGAATCTAATTTTCTAATACCATCTGTGTAGCCAATTTGTTCATTTATTGTGTCCTCTTATCCTCTCAGTAGTGATGGCTTTCAACTGACATAGGGAAAGAAAATACAATTTATACTTCCAGTGCTTTTTATTTCCAGTGCAGGACTATAAAGTCACTAGAAATACAAGATATTTCTTGTGTCACTCATTCTTAATAAATCGAATTCTGTGGGCCAGAATTCACAGGTCTTTTGAGATTTGTCAAGCATTTGGTTAGAACACTGACGATATAGAAGCAAGGACAAGTAGTTCTCAACATTTGTGAAGATCGGAATGATCGCCATTTGAATATGAGGTCAATACAAATCTACAAATATGATTAAACCTCTCCTCCACACATAACCTAAAAAATGATTTGAAAATTGTATTCAATGAGACTAGATGATTGTCTTGATGGAAATATCCATCAAGGATTCCATTTCTCCTAAGAAAAAATTGAACTAAGATGAGACACACTCACGTATATTTAAAATGTCACCATAACTTGGGGCATCTGGGTGGCTCAGTCAGTTAAGCTCCAACTTTGGCTCAGGTCATGATCTCGCAGTTCATGAGTTCAAGCCCCGTGTCAGGCTCTGTGCTGACAGCTCCAGAGCCTGGAGCCTGTTTTGGATTCTGTGTCTCCCTCTCTGCCCCTCTCCTGCTCACTCATGTGCCTGTGTGCATGCACTCTTTCTCTCTCAAAAATAAATAAAACATAGAAAAAATTAAAATGCCACCATAACTAAAGAACAGTGATTTATGTGCAATCTGAAAGATGGATGACTTATACTTCCAGTGTCAGGAGTTTGTCAGGTCTTCTGGTTTGTCAATGTTCAGGGGAGAGGATATTCTTATTCTTATGCTTCATGCAGGTTAATAAAATGAACAAAGGTTTGGCTACCAAATTTGATAAAAATATATTTTTATCACACCCCCAAACTGTCTTTTCCCCAGCCTTCTTGAGGAATAATTGACATACAATAAACTCTACGTATTTAAAGTATATAATTTGATGAATTTGACTCATGCATACACCCATGAAGCCATGACTACAATCAAGATGGTGAATATACCCATCACCACAAAAGTTTCCTTGTGTTCTTTTGTAATCCCTCCCTGCCACCCTTGCCTGCCCCCGCTATTCCCCACCCCAGATAATCACCAATCTGTACCTGAACTATACATTAGTTTTCATGTGCTGGCATTTTATATAAATGCAATCATAATGTATTTATTTTTTGTCTGGCTTATTTCACTTAGTATAATTGTTTTGATATTTACCCATGTTGCTATATCAGTACTTCATTTCTTTTTATTATTGAGAGATATTTCATTCTGTTAATATATTCTCAGTTTGTTTACCCAAAACTTTGATTTGTAATTGAGCCTTCTTTAATGAACTTGTGGCCTCTTATAACATAGCTATCATGAAATCTCTTGTCACTGGTAAAACTGCTCAATTACATTTCTGAGGGCACAAAGCTAGGGGAGACTTGGGATTAAGGGAGTACCCCAGTGAGGGTGGGAAGGAAGCTCCCTGTGAGGTCAGTTTCCTCAGCCTCCAGACACCATCTTCCAATAACAACAGCATTTAATTGGGAATTTTGTCATTTTTATTGTAAAATAACGTCCATGTGTACCGTGTCCTGATCAAGAATGATTAAAGAAAAGATCCATTGCTCTTTTTCCCCACTCCAACCTCCTTGTCATTTCAGACTCCTAAGGGAACCTGTGAGAAGTCAGTGAAGATTGCCATTGACACAGGGTACCGGCACATTGACGGGGCCTACATCTATCAGAATGAGCATGAAGTAGGGGAGGCCATCAGGGAGAAGATAGCAGAAGGAAAGGTGCGGAGGGAGGATATTTTCTACTGTGGAAAGGTGAGATCTTCTCTTCACCCTCCAACTCCTTCTATTAATAGTTGGTCTGGTGTCACTTTTCCCTGTTAAAGTGTGTTGGGCTCAACAAGAGGAGTGAGTTCTCCACTCCCAAATTGCTCACTCTTGCCGGGAAGTTCGGGACTGACTAATTAGCCCCCTGAAGGTTAGGCAAAGCTCCTTCTTCATACATGGGCATGATTTAAGACAATATGGGAACAGCCAAATCTACAGAGCAGAAAAATTGGGGAGTGGAGGGAAGGGGGGAGGTGGTTCATATTAAATAATCATTTGCCAAACCTTTCTTTAAAAGGACAGCCTTCTTTTGCTTTTGTGTATGCCTATTTGTCCGTAGATCACTAATTTGTTTATTGAGCAAGAATTCATGTACCATCAAGTTATAAATAAGTTAAATAAATGCTTTTAGTGTATTTACAAAGTTGCATAACCATCTATACTACCTAATTCCAGAATATTTTCATCACTCCAAATGAATCCCATACCCACCAGTAGTCGTCCCCCATTTTCTCCTCTCCTTCCAGTCCCTGGCAACCAGTGATCTACTTTCTGTCTTTACAGTTTTCCTATTCAGGACATTTCATATAAATTGAATCACATGCTATGCGGCCTTTTGTGTCTAGCTTCTTTCACTGAGTGTAACATTTTCTAGGTTTGATCATAGCATGTATGAGAATTTCATTTCTATCACTTCTCAGGCTTTTGGCTAAGATCGCGAGAATTTCATTTCTTTTTTATGGCCAAATAATACTCTATTGTGTGGATATATGAGATTTTGTTTATGTCACCACTACCTTTCGAGCCTTTGCAATTTCCAATATTAGAAATCACTATCCACCGAAGGGCAATCCAAAAGATAAAGCATCGTGATTAAAATGAAAGCCAGTGGAAATATAGGATGTATATTTTCAGGCAGCTTTGCAGGAATAAAGCTGTACAACTTTGGAGATTGTGTAATACAATTCTCCTGAGTGTGTTCTATACGAGAACAAGATGATGTTTCTGATTTCAGCCATTCCCCAGCTCCCCACTCAGGCTCCTTGCCAAGCTCTCTGGGAGTTTTGGTTCCCCAAATCCCCTGCCACTTAGGGATTATGAGTCCAAGGAGCTACATATAGCCACTGTCCCAAAATATCAGCCTGAAGCTTTTCACTTTATTATAGCTTTACAATTTTTACTCCTTAAGATTTCACTATTACACAGTATCTCATTGGAGTAAACATCAAACCTTAACCTGGTGCTCCCAAAATATTTTGGGGGAAGGATAATCTTGAACTCATATCCTGAGAACTTGGGCCAAAGCAACCTGCCCAAAGGCAGAAATATTTTTGAAGATTTGTGTCTTATCCTAAATTTGTTTTTAGACTTTTGCATTTCCCCCCATAATATTTTCTTATTTGTTTCATTTTGTTTCAGTGTAAAAATGAGGTTACAAGTTACCACCAAGAAAAATAAACCAAAAAACTTTTCTTCTTAGCCGTCTATTTCATAAAGTTGCTGTGAGTTAACATTTACAAAGCACTTAAACAGTACCTGGCACAGAGCTAGGACTATGTGTGTTAATTGAATAAAAATAAATTAAAATGTATAAAACAGAATATTCAGTTAGATGGGATGGAAGCAATAACAGAGTAATGACAAAAACACATTTTCCCACTATTCTTTCCACATTGTTTTCTCTTCTTTATGCACTTAAGGCAAGAAAAAATTATTGTCCAAAGTAGAGAAAAATCAAATGTTACCAATTTTGCTTGCCCTTACTTGTGACAATAAGGGTATAGAAATTAAAAAAAAAAAAATCCCCAAACACTTTGAACAAATTTGATGCTCCAAGAAGTATTAATTTATCCCAAGGCTCTGAGGACCCCTCAGCACCCTATGTTTTATAGACCTCAAGGGTACACATGCTCCAGTTTGATAACCTAAGTCTTAATCTTTCATTACCTAATAGTTTAGAGATTGAGTAATTTCATTTTATTTCTTTTTTTATTTCTTTTGTTAAGTTTATTTCATTTTTCCCCAGCTTTATTGAGATATAATTGACATATAACATTTTGTAAACTTAAGGTGCATATTGATTTGATACACTTATGTATTGCAAAGTCATTATCACTGTAGTGTTAGCTAATACCTCTGTCATATCACTTAATTGCCATGTCCTTTCTGTGGTGAGAACATTGAAGATCTATACTCTTAGCAACTTTCAAGTATATAATATAGTAGTATGAACTACAATCGCTATGCTTTACATTAGATCCCCAGATTTTATTCACCTTTTATCTGGAAGTTGGTACTGTTTGATCAACTTCTCTCCCTTTTCATCTGCAGCTGGCTGTCTAATTATTGACTTTTATTAGGGGATGAGGCAGGGTCTCCACTACTACCATTTTGGTGATCTTATCAGTGTAGCCAGATAGCCAGTAATTTCTTAGTAGGAATTGGCAGAATTTCCCTGGGGTCTAAGTACAACCAAATGAGAACAAAGGAGCAGAAAAAGGAAATCTAAACAGTTGCAATAATTTAAAGTTTTGGGGTACCTGGGTGGCTCAGTCTGGTAAGCATGTGACTCTTGATTTTGGCTCAGATCCTGATCTCACCGTTCATGAGATCCAGCCCCAAGTCAGACCAGGCTGCACTGACAGTGTGGAACCTGCCTGGGATTCTCTCTCCCTCCTCTCTCTCTCTGCCTCTCCCCCCTCCCATGCATGCTATCTCTCTAAATTAATTAATTATTAATAAAAGTTTCACCAGCGTCCACACCGTCTGTCACAATGTGAAAGATCCAGGGAAGTCACTCTCACAATCCTATCTCTTGCTCAGCTAAAGCACACCTTTTATGAGAGTGTCATGAAAATAAAGCACTTAGCCCAAACAGCTAGTCAGATACATGTTCCGTTTCTACACATTGAGGAAAAGTGACAGTGCTGAGGGTCAATTCAGAAGTTAGCAGGGAGCAGGACAAGACTTTGTCACCAAACTATGTCCTCTGTGGTTCAGATGTATCTTCAAGTCTCTGGTACTCTATCTGGATAGAGTATACTCCAGGCGTCAAGAGTTATATGAACTCCTCCTCTACCCAGATGACACCTCAGCATAAACGTATTTTTATAAAATGAAATAGGTAAGTAATGTATAGGAGTTCTTTGGATAAAGGGCTGCGTTACTGTAAAAAAAAAAAAGTGTGGATGTTAGCTAACTATCACCTTTTTATTCTTTCAGCTGTGGGCTACAAGGCATGACCCCGAGATGGTCCGTCCAACCCTGGAGAAGACGCTTAACACCCTCCAGCTAGATTATGTGGATCTTTACATCATTGAAATACCCATGGCTTTAAAGGTGAGTTCACATGCCTAAAGATTAGTTCTCTGCCCTTTGGCAGCGATGAGCCAGCAGCTGTTCACATGAAGCTTCTTCTTTACTCAGCACCACAGAGTGTCAAGGTGTTTTGTTACTGCACGTCAGACAGTACTGACCAACCCAAACAAATGCTCACAAAGATTTTGTGTAACAGACTCAGGCCTGGATCCCGAGTCTCTTGATTCATAGTCTAATGCACTTGCTATTATATCTTGTCTTCACAGCTATAGTTAAAACTCTCTCCATCAAACCGACCTGTGGTCCCCTCACTGTATTCCACCTGTAGTCACCTGGCATTCAGACACACCCTTCTTACTGTTCACACAGTCATGAAAATGGCCCTGCATAACATAATGCAAAATAATATCTGTAGCTGAAAACTTACCCTCCACCCCCTCCACAAAAAAATAACCTAAAGAAGAGTCAGGTTTTTGGAGCCAGAGCCAAGGTCGGGGTACCTATGTGGTATCTATTCCTTTATTTCAAATTCACTCCTTCTTTGAACTTTCTCCACCTATGGACTTGTTCATGTAACCAACAACAACACACTGTATATGCACTGCTAAAGAGCAATCACTGCTTTAAAATTTCATTGAGGGCAGGGGAGCCTGAAAAACAAAATTGGCCATTTGTCCCCAAGGTACATCAGATCCTGTTGTTCATCAGGAAGAACAAAGACTCTGCTATTACAGTGGCCAGAATTCTTTATGCAGCCAACCTGGAAACACTTTGTTCTGTTTCCTATTCTGTTCTCGGGAAACACTTTGCTTGTTGGTTCTCCTCTGTGGTCACATCCAAGATGGACTTTGGAGAGGATTACCCTTTTGCATCATGCTTCATATTGATGCAGGTTTGGAGGCTTCACAATGGCCTTGGTAATCACAGGCTTTTATTGGTCAGGTTGAGAGTTCACAGACAAGACAATATCCCTTAAAAGGTTGATAGTCTTTCAGTAAATTCACATTCAGTCCAGTATGAATGAACAATTAAAACTAGAAATCTTTTAGGATCACATTTCTTATTATCTAATTTGTGGTCTATGGTTTCTGTCTCTTTGTAAAGAACTTCCTGATTTTACTCATCAGCCCCATCTTCAGCTTACTGACCTCCATCTCGTTTGGAAAAATATAAAATAGGCAGGCATAGGGGCGCCTGGGTGGCTCAGTCAGTTAAGTGTCCGACTTTGGCTCAGGTCATGATCTCACCGTTTGTGGGTTCGAGCCCCGCGGGCTCTGTGCTGACAGCTCAGAGCCTGGAACCTGCTTCAGATTCTATGTCTCATTCTCTCTCTGCCCCTCCTTTGCTTGTGCTCTGTCTCTCTCTGCCTCTCGAAAATAAATAAATATTAAAATAGGCAGGCACAGCTAATGTGTTCCTTTTACCCAATCTGCATCTCATTGGATGGTGCACCTTTGTCCAGTAGGGCATCTGTGATCTTGCCTTCAGAGGGACACTGAGAACCAGAATTCTCCCAAAGTCCAATATTACTTACCTCTAGGATTCTTACCTTCTTGCCTTGGTTGGCACTAACTTTTCTATCTCCAGAAGGCTCAGATCTCAACTTCTGTCATCTCAGGTGACATCCAGAAGCAGAAAGTACTAATTTTAGCAAAATATCATCTTACCTCTCATCTTACAAGCCCAGTAGCAACAAACACATCTTTCTTCAAGAACTACCCGAAGCTTGCAAAAATGGCCAATAAATTCTAATACCCACTGTTTTTCTACTAAGTCCCCTAAAGCTCCAGCCTTAGTAGGCCCATTTGTCTGAAACTCAAGCACAACAAGGCAATAATTTCAGATTCCATGCTATTGCAGAGCAAGGATTTCCAATTCTTGGCTGAAGGTGGGAGACTTCTCAGTGTCCACAATTCCCTATTGACCTAGCCAATTTCACATTTATGGCCCATTACTTGCCATACCGCAACATCTTTGTATTAGTCAGAGCTCCTGTTATAAATGGCAGAAATCCAACTCAAATTGGTGTTACCTAAAAAGGGAGCTAAAAATTCCAAGGGATACCTAGTTCAGGCACAGCTGGTTCCAGAAGTTCAAACTATGTATATGGCTCTGTCTCTATGTTTTAGTTGGCTTCACTCTCAAAAATCCCTCTCTATGTGATGATAGAATGACCATTGACATACCAAGCCTACATCGCCAACACAACTGGAGAATTCAGAGAAAGAGAAACCACACATTAAACCTCATGGAGAAATACTGAGCGGCCTTGCTTGGGCCATTTACCCATTACTGACTAATCTTTGATCTAAGGGCCAAATGAGTGACTGATTGACATCTATGGTTAAGAATGAGAGCTGAGTCAGCCCACCCAAACAATATGGAATGAACTCCTCCAGAGAAGATAGCATAGGTATGGGGAAATAACAGATTTCTACTGAACTCATTAATTAGAGGTCACTTAGCATAGTGGTAAGGAGCATGGACTGCCGAGTTTGAATCTCAGCTGTGTGACATACAAGGCAGATGACTTGGTCAAGTTATTACCTGATCTCTTTCCACATCACCTATTCATGGTATAGTGGAAATGTCTGTATGGACTTTGGAGTCACACAGAAGAGGGATTGACTCTCAGCTTTATTACTTACTAGTAGTAGTCACTTTGATCTTTATCTCTTTCTTTCTTTCTTTCTTTCTTTCTTTCTTTCTTTCTTTCTTTCTTATTTCTTTCTAAACTTCAATTTCATTATCAGTAAAATGGTGACAATAGTAACTCCACAAGTGTTGTGAGGAGTCATTAAAATTATATGTGTGAAATTACTGGCACAATGTCTGACATTTTCTTGATAATAAATGAAAGATAATACTCTGAAATATTCGTGTGGAAAAGAAACTTAGTTATAAGATATCCCAATAACCTCATTTCACAGAAAAGAAAGTCGAGGCCCCAAACAAGGAACTAACAAACTCAGGTTTAAAGCCCATTAGAGAGAAAAAAAAAGATAATGATAAAGAAAATAAAGGCCATTAGAACAGGGAGCAGATGGTCAGTCCTCTGATGCCAACTTCACACTTGTTCCCCTACGTGACACTGCCCCTGCCTTGTCCTCGCAAACCTAACAATCCCAACACCCTGTGGACTACGGTGATTTTTTTAAATTCCAGGCTCTTGGAAGTTATAACCTCAGCCCTCATCCTCACACAACTAACTTTACTCTTGTTCAAATGGCAGACTTTTTTTTTTTTTAATTTTTTTTTTCAACGTTTATTTATTTTTGGGACAGAGAGAGACAGAGCATGAACGGGGGAGGGGCAGAGAGAGAGGGAGACACAGAATCGGAAACAGGCTCCAGGCTCTGAGCCATCAGCCCAGAGCCCGACGCGGGGCTCGAACTCATGGACCGCGAGATCGTGACCTGGCTGAAGTCGGATGCTTAACCAACTGCGCCACCCAGGCGCCCCATCAATCTCATCATTTTTTAACAAGAAATCTTTCTTGCTAAAATATTTTAGCACGATGTTATTTTTTTAAATGTCAAATTAACAACAACACAATACAAAAACTCATGATAAGATGTTTTAAAAAGATGAATGAAGTTACTGCTGAATTGGAATGAGAGTCAATAGCACAGGTTTTTAGAGGGTTGAATTATTTTTCCAGTAATGCCTTACATTAAGGAGGAGTAGAGGACAAAGACAAAGGGTTTATCTGGATGAATGGATTAGTAAGGTAGACACAGGAGCTTCAGGGAGGCATCATAGAAATATTTATCATGGGTGCAGGCTTGATAAGGGCTTAATTAAAACCTGGGGAAGTAAATATTATTTAACAGAGTTCGTAATGGAGGCATAAAGCCATTTCAGAACAGAAGTAAAATTAGGAAATGCAAAGGCTCTAAGAAATAGAGAGAGAAAAAAAAGAAATAGAAAGAGAGACTGAAATGAAAATGTGGGTCATCAGTGTTGAAAAGGTCAAAGAGCTTAGAAATCAGAGATAGAAAGGGTCATTAACATGAGTGATTATGGGGCATCAAGGAGAAAGGAGCCCTTTCCTATTCTCAGTGAGACAGGAGGAACTGAGAAGACATGGTCTTCACTACAGAGGACAAATGGAGAAAATGTTATTGCCAGGGGGAGGTTTCATTCAGGTGAGCTAACAGAAGGAAAAATTTTTTAAATATTTAAGAATATAATGGATTTTGTCCAATTGCTTGGTTTTCAACAAAAGAATTCCTATTAGCAAGGTCTACAGACTTCCATGCTGTCATCCAAATCCAAAAGACACTTTGTCCCCATATTATTTGATCACTTTCAACACAGGTGACTACTACCTTTTTCTTTAAACATTTTCAGCTCATGGCTCTATATTACCCTCTTAAGATGCTTTGATAGCTTCTTCTCTGCCAACCTCCAAATGTCATGCCCAGTACTCTATCCTTAATATTGTCTTACTGAGCCACATTTTCTTTAAAAGTGATCAGTCGCGTGGATTAAATACCACTTTATATACTGAGGACTCCCAAATTAGTCTGCAGCCAACTTCTGTTTAATTGCCTCCTCAAATATCCACTCAAATCTAATTGACATTTCAAACACAAAATATCCACAACAAAACCCTTGATTGCTAGCTTAACCTCAGGATATGATCACCACCAGCCAGCCAAGGAGCCTAGAAATCATCTTTTATTTCTCTCAATCCCACTTCCAAGCCCACAACAGATGTGTCCCATTTTTAGATGTCGTGAAAAAGAAGAAATCTGAAAAACAATGGTCTTTGTTGGGAAGGGATCACCCCAAAACTGGGTTTGATACTGAGATAATTTGTGAGGTAGAAAACAGATGCTAAACTCCTGGAGGTCCCAGAAAGGGAAAGAAGAGAACCACTGGGCAGGTTATTCAGAACTGAGAAGTAACATGCTGAGTTTTCCCTTACTCTTAGGAGGCATTCCATCCATTAGCTACACTTTTCTTAGATAAAGAATTTCCTCTCACCCTTAATGATGACCTTTGGCTTCTTATCGGAGTAAGAAATTTGGTGTTCTCAACTTTGGCAAGGGTTAGGGTTAGGTCAAAACAGTAAGCCTGAAAGTCCTAATTCTCAGCTTCTTCTACTCCTTATTTATGAGTAATTTTGTTATTAAGAGAGATTTTCATGGGGCGCCTGGGTGGCTCAGTTGGTTAAGTGTCCAACTTCAGCTCAGGTCATGATCTCACAGTTCATGGGTTTGAGCCCTGTATCTGGCTCTCTGCTATCAGCATAGAACCTGTTTCAGATCCTCTGTCCCCTTCTCTCTCTGCCCCTCCCCCATTCATACACATGCACCTGCTCTCTCTTTCTCTCAAAAATAAAAAACATCTAAAAAAAAGACAGGCAAAAATTCATGGTTTAAGAACAATAATAATCTGTCAATAAATAAAGGAAAAATGAATACCAGGGTGAGATAATGAGACTAATGGGTCATATTTACAATATATAAGTATAAAAATAATTAGAATTGAATTTCTTTCCCAGGGCCAGGGTATTCCTGGAATTCCTCAAATTCCATGGAATTCCTCAAATTCCATAATTTTAATTCCCAGATATAAGTAAAATAAGTTATGCTTGTTCTTTTTCTGTAGCCTGGAGATGATTTCTATCCTAAAGATGAGAATGGCAAATGGTTATATCACAAGTCAAATCTGTGTGCCACTTGGGAGGTAAGTTCAAATGGGCCTCTTATCTCAAAATACTACATTTTTAAACTGTGATCTGACTATTCCTGTTCAGTTTATGGAGAGATACAGCCTTTGCTTCCAATGGAAAGTAAAAGAACAGGCATTTTGGGGGCCCCTGGGTGGCTCAGTTGGTTAAGTGTCTGACTTTAGCTCAGGTCATGATCTCACAGTTCGTGAGTTTGAGCCCAACATCGGGCGTGGTGCCTGGAGCCTGCTTCAGACTCTGTGTGTGTGTCTCTCTCTCTGTCTCTGCCCCTCCCCCACTCATTCTCTGTCTCTCAAACATAAAAACATTGAAAAAAAATTAAAAGCCAGGCATTTTAACCATAAGCAAAGATATGTGCACTGAAAAGTTCTTGATTTTGTTTTGATGGAAAAGAAGAATGCCATAGAAGGAAGAGAGAAGTGTAGAAGGAAAAAGAAAGTAAAGGAAATAAGTTCTAATTTGACTGTAAATGAAAATGTACACGTGAGATACATTCACAAGTTTTTTAAGTTTCTCAAATTGAATTTATAAAAATCAGTAATATGATGTTTAAAAGAAACAAAGTTAAAATGATACATGAAAAACTGAAAAATAATTCTGGTTCCATTTCTCAGCAAGCTGTTGGCTCCTTCCGCAAGATCATGAGAGTAGGAAAACTAGGGGAAAGTAATTAGAAAATCGGTGTGGATTCTTGGGGGGGGGGGGCCGGGGAAATGCCGCTATTTTGAACTGGTTTGTTTATGAGGTAATATGGCAGCTTTTACCTAGAGTAGAAGGCAGCCCAACAAACACTAGTAGGATTACACAGCAGAGGACCTTAGAGTTGTTTTTGTTCTCTCTTCTCTCCTGCTATAGCCTTGGGACAAATATTGTCTGCTCCATATGTGCAGAAACTTAAGATTCATGTTCAGGTGTCTTCAGGACAATCAAATCAGAGTAGTACTGCACTTGTGAGAAGCTGAGAAAAACATAAGTTACTATCTGACCCCTGGTAGTTGTCTCCCTGGCTGTCCCATTCCAAACCCCAAAGGCTGAGAAATTATACTCTAACCAGTATCTCTTTCCAATAGATTTCCCCCCATAGGTAAGAGCTGAAGATCTGAATTGTGGAGTTGTTCTGAGGAGTGAGGAAGCATTGACTGGGTTTTCTGGTGTCTGGGGCTCTCCACCCAGGAGACCATATACTCTTTCCTGACCTTACTGTAGATGACTAGTTTTAGAGTCTGGTATTCCCCTTCAAGGGACTGCCTAATAGCATAGCCAATATTCCCAGGAAAAAATGTGTTCACAGCCCCAAATTACAAGGCATTTATTTCACAAAAAGCAACAGATCTCAATTATAAATCCCAACATACACAGAGAAAAGGACCAAGAACTTTAAATTAGCCAAATTATATATATATATATATATATATATATATATATATATATATATGTGTGTGTGTTTGTGTGTGTGTGTGTGTATTCATTCAAGGAGATAGGAAAAGATGTTAGCAATATGAAACAAGAACAAGAATACATTTAAAAAAAAACAAGCAAATATAATAATTAGAAAACTCAAAAAATAATGCAATTGATGGGATGAAAATAGAATGGGTATAGACAGAGAAAAAAACATGATCAGATTGAATTATCAGAATAAGGAAATCCCCAACATGAAGAAGAAAAGGACAAGAAAAATTTTTAAATATGAAAGAAAAGATAAGAGGTATAAAGGATACAATTTGAATTTCCACACAATAGGAGTCTCAGAAAAATAAAGAAAGAAGAAAAAAAAAGAGGTAATATTTGAAGAAATAAAAAGAGATAAAGGGCATGGATTACTGAAGAGAAAAAGAGAAGATACATTACAGTGAAATTTCAGAATATCAAATATTAAGAGAAAATGTTCAAATCTCTAGACTATAGCAAACAAGCTAATAAAGAAAAGAAAATTGGAACAAAAAAATAAATTGAGGCGAAGACAGGGAAAGAAGAGGGAAAATGAATGGATGGGAAAAAGTAGAAAGCAAAGAGCAAGATGGGAGATTTAAACTCAGTTGTATTAATCATCACAATCTATGTAAATAGTCCAAACAACTCAGTTACAAGGTAGAGGTTGTCAGAATGGATAAAAAGCAAAACTCCAGTACATATTATATATAAGAAACCCATTTTATTTATCTTTTGAGACAGAAAGAGAGGGGGCAGTGAGGGAGAGAGGCAGAGGAAGAGAGAGATCATCCTAAGCAGGCACCAGGCTGAGCACAGAATCCAAAGGGGTGCTGGATCCCATGACTATGAGATCATGACCTGAGTCAAAATCAAGAGTCAGATACCTAACTGACTGAGCCACCCAGGCACCCATAAGAAACCCATTTTAAGTGAAAAGACACAAATAGGTTGGAAATAAAAGGTTAAGAAAAAAAATGAAAAGGGTAGAAAAAGACATACTCAGCTGATGGTAATCAAAAGAAAGCTAGAGTAGTTATTTTATTTTATTAAAAAAAATTTTTTTTTAACGTTTATTTATTTTTGAGACAGAGAGAGACAGAGCATGAACAGGGGAGGGTCAGAGAGAGAGGGAGACACAGAATCTGAAACAGGCTCCAGGCTCTGAGCCGTCAGCACAGAGCCCGACGCAGGGCTCGAACTCACGGACCGTGGGATCAAGACCTGAGCCGAAGTCGGACGCTCAACCGACCGAGCCACCCAGGCGCCCCTAGAGTAGTTATTTTAATATCAACAAAGATTACAGAGCAAAAATTATTACCAGGAATAAAGAAGTTTGTTTAATAGGGCGCGTGGGTGGCTCAGTTGGTTAAGCGCCTGACTTCAGCTCACAAAGAAGGTCATGATCGCACGGTTCGTGGGTTTGAGCCCTGCGTTGGGCTCTGTGCTAACAGCTCAGAACCTGAAACTTGCTTCAGATTCTGTGTCTCTATCTCTCTCTGCCCCTCCCCCACTCCCTCTGTGTCTCTCTCTCTCTGTCAAAAATAAATAAACATTTAAAAAATTTTGTTTTATAATAATGAAAGGATCAATCCTAAACATCTATGCACCTAATAACAGAACTCCAAAATACATGAATTAAGAGAACTGAAAAGAGAAAGAGAATAATCTACAATTACAGTCAACGATTTCAAAACCTCTCTCTCAATAATTGAGATAGTAAGTACACAGAAAATCTATAGATTAGAGGAGATTTAAATATTATCAACCAGCTTAACCTAATTGACAATTATAAAGTACTTCACCATAATATAACAAAATGCTATTTTTCAAGTGCACATGGACCATTTAGCAAAATAGTCCATTGTCTGAGACATAAAACAAATCTCAATACATTTAATAATATTCTTTATGCAAAGTAGGCTGTCTGATAAAATTGGAATTAAATTTGAAGTCAATAACAAAAATTTATCTGAAAACTCATCAAATATTTTGAAACTAAGAAGCATACATGTAAATAATCTGTAGGACAAAAAATAAAATCTGTATCAATATATGTATGTTAGCAATGTTCAAGTGGAAATTAAGTTTTTAAAAATTTAATTATGAAGTATTTAATAATTAAGTGAATATAAAAATATTAAGTATTTAGAGATAAATTTAACAAAATCAGTGCAAGGCTTACATAGTAAAAACTACAATGCATTACTGAGCAGCTTTTTTATAAGTCATCTCTATACCCAACGTGGGGCTTGAACTCACAACCTCAAGATCATGAGTCTACCAACTGAGACAGCCAGGCCCACTACTGAGAGAAATGTTTAATATTTTAAATAAGTTGAGAGATATATCATGTTCTTTGATAGAAGGACTGACCATAAGGATGCCTGAGTGGCACAGTTGGCTGAGCATCTGACTTCGGCTCAGGTCATGATCTCACAGTTAGTGAGTTCAAGCCCTGCATCAGGCTCTCTGCTATCTCTGCTGTCAGCACAGAGCCGGCTTTGGATCCTCTATTCCCCTTTTCTCTGTGGCCCTCCCTGACTCATGCTCTCTCTCAAAAATAAACATTTTTTAAAAAGATAAAAAAAAGATTGACTATATTAAGATGTTAATTTTCCCCAAACTGGTCGATAGATTCAATGCAATCCCAGTCAAAATCCCAAAAGAAATGGAAAAGCTGTTTCCAAAATTTATAGGAAATGGCAAATAGCATAATGATAAAAGATTCATTTACCAAGAAGATATACCAGTTTTAAACACATACGTACCATTTAAAATATCTTCAAAATACATAAAGCAAAGGTTGATAAACTATAAGAAGACATTGATAAATTCTTCTGATACGGTGGGAGATTTCTAACATATTCCTTTAAGTTATTGAGAAGCCAGGAAAAACTAGACCTAATTTTATATAAGGTGTGTGTATGTGTCTGTGTGTGTGTCTATATATACATATACGTATGAGACAGAGACACACACAGAGCAAGAGGAGAAAAAGATATATATATAATAATAGGAGAATATACATTTTCACACACACCAGACATTTATAAAAATGGATCAGGTCCCAAGCCACAAAGCAAACCTCAACAGCTTTCAAGAAATAAGATAATTCTTAATGCACTGGTATACCTTGTGAAAATGCAAGGGGGAAGATATGGTGTACAATATTTCCCAAACAATTCCTGTCTGTCTGTCCCACTTTTTTTTTTTTTCTTCACACACGCCTATTGCCATACCCAGGGACTTTCATTCTTAAAGAACTCATAGTCACCCTCATAGACATCTCGTTTGTTTTGAGGCTTTTTTGTTGACCCATTGGCCTTTATTCAACAGGCTTTGGAAGCTTGCAAAGATGCTGGCTTGGTGAAATCCCTTGGAGTATCCAATTTTAACCGCAGGCAGCTGGAACTGATCTTGAACAAACCAGGACTCAAACATAAGCCAGTCAGCAACCAGGTATAGTTTGACAGGATTGGTGGGAGGTGAGGAATTGGGGTGTGTGTGAGGGGTAGAGGGAGATTCCAATGTTTACTTAACAGCAAGAACCCTGATCTAGGAGTCAGAAATCTTGTGATCACTCTACATATATCTCATCAGAGGACCCTGAGCAAATCTTTTGACTTCTCTCACTATGTGTCTCTTACAAAAAGATTTTAAAGTTCAAATCCAGGCAAAGGTAACCCAAACGATTTTTTGAAGAAAAATAATGAGGGCGAGCTAGATCTGCCAGATATTAATGTATACAGAGTATTTAAAATAATGTAAGATTTGTACAGAACCAACATACAAATGAGTAGAAAATAAGAAATAAACAAGCCCCAAGTGTAATAAAAACATAATGTAAAAAAAAAAAAACAAAAAAAAACAAAACATAATGCAAACTAATGGCTAAGGGATGAATTTGTCAGTAAATAGTGTGGGGGGAAGGGCTAGTTCTGTAGAAACAAATCTAGATCTTTGCCTCATGTCATACTCCCAGTATCTCTTTGATCAGCTGTTAAAGAAGAAAGAGGAAGTCATTTGTGAATACTACAAAACATTTTTAGTTTTCTGGAGCTATATATAGAAAATGTAGCCATGAGAAAATTATAAAAGAAACTGACACATTGAACAGTATAAAATGTTAAACTCTAAAAATATTAGGAAAAAAAGAGCAAACAAAAATGGATAATTCCATTTTTAAATGTAATAGAAAAGGGGAATCATATCCCTAATTCCTACCCCTCACCAGCGCATCTTCCTGCACCCTCAAAAAAAGCATTTTGTTATAAAGCGTGAAATGGGGAGCCTGGGTGGCTCAGGCGGTTGAGTATCTGACTTTGGCTCAGGTCGTGATCTCACCGTTTGTGAGTTCGAGCCCCCCATGGGCTTGCAGCTTTGGATTCTCTCTCAAAAATAAAACATTTAAAAAACAATGAAAAAGAAAAGAGGCACTAGAAACAGTAGGAACCTCTGTTATTTAAAAAATTAGATAACTAAAAGGCTGAAATGACACACACATTTCTTCTTACAAATATATAAAGAAAGATGGCGATTTTTGACCTCAGAATGAAAAATGAGGAATTTGACAGTGTGTCTCCTCATGACAAAGAGCATGTTGGAAGATCATAGCCGATTCATGTGTTTCATGGTGTCTGAAGGCAGAGTATATCAACCCTATAGAGATAGCACAGATCAAAGTGCAGGTCTACTGGCCGGCCAGCCATTACCCTGTGCATTGAGTAGGACCACCTCTACTCCAGAGACACAAAAAAGAGCAGCTTTCAGTTCAAGATCACGATGAGCATACTGTGGGCCTCATACAGAGCGGACACATTTTATCTGTGAGGGATACATACCTGGAGACCTTGCATAAGTCAAAATTCACATATTTAAAAATTAACTTTCCCATTAGAATAAATTTAAAGTATAATTTGCAGATTTGTCTATTTTTCCGTGGACTTTATGAACAAAGTCACGTAGAATATGACCTTGCTCTCTACTAATTCTCAGAATCTGAGCATTCCCAACTTCCCTAGTACTGTCCAAAATGTCTGTGTTGACAAAGACATGTGTCTCCCAGGCTCCATCCCTGGCTTAGTCTCTCCGAAAGTCTTCCTGGTGGGCAATTTGTCATGCAGTGTTTTCCCAGCCTAATTCAAAGGAGACCTTTGAATTAGACCTTAGCTCAGGTCTTTTAATTTTTATACACCCAATTCTAACAAATGAAGGAGGGGGAGGGGGAGAAAGGAAACATCTCCAAATTCTTCATTTTTTTCCTAACCCTACTCACTATGCCTAAGTCACAGACATCTGACTTAGGAAGCAATAAATATTTTTTGAGTGATTTAATTAATGAAAGGAAAATTCAACATAGATTTTTACAGAAAGACAGAGGATGAGGTTAACATCTTCCTTCACAGCTTCTGTCCAGCTTAACTTCACCTTGTGAGATTTTGCTATCTCAAGTCCCACGCTACCAAATAGTGTTGAAAAAAAAAAGCCCCAGACATGTCAAGACACTGAGAAGTGACATCAGTTTTACATAGTCAACAAGAAAAAGTAAAGACCGCATCTCCAGTGGCCCGTCCACAAAGGGCCATAACCAGTCCCTGGCAAAGAAGGAAGCAAGTGTGCTTAGTCATCCTTCTTAGAAATGACGAAGTTCCAGGGCAACGCTGGCATCAAGGCCCTGTGACATCAGACACCGTCACTGCCCTTCACCTTAAACTCGGCCTCCGGTGCCAGCAGACCCAACAAGGATCATCTGCTGGCCTCAAATGACCCCACCAAGCTGCAGTGCTGATGGAGCCCTTCTGTAAAGTCTGCAGGACCAGTAATTCTTTCTAAGATTCTGGCTTGATCCTGTCTGTCTGTATAGGTACCATTTCCATTCATTCAACAGCCATTGAGCACTGGCCTTATGCCACACACTTTGCTAGGTTCCAGGCATGCATAAGTGACCAAAGACAGATACAGCCCTTCCTCTCGGGGCACTAGCTGTCTAGTGTGGAACAGACATCAAACAATCACAGAAGTTATTGATAGTTAGAAACTGAGATAAGTGCTCTGAAAAAAAAAAAAAAGGAATATGGTTCTCTGTGTTCGTGTGCACATGGATCTTAATAGCTTATCCACTCCCACCCCCACATTTCCCTCACTGGGTGTCCCGTTAGTGATACGCCCCAGGATTTTTACCTAAGAACTGTCTATGCAGGGGTGCTTGGGTGGCTCAATCAGGTAAGCATCCGACTTCAGCTCAAGTCATGATCTCGCGGTTCGTGTGTTCGAGCCCCACGTCGGGCTCTGTGCTGACAGCTTAGAGCCTGGAGCCTGCTTCGGATTCCCTCTCTCTGCCCCTCACCGACTTGCACTCTCTCTCTGTCTCTGTCTCTCTGTCTCTCTCTCTCAAAAATAAACATTGAAAATTTTTAAAAAAAGAACTGCTTATGCAAACATTTATATTAAATTAGGCTATGTGATGTTATTTGAGTGTATATATTAACTCTCAAGTTTTTGTTGAGTAGATGTTTCTCGGATGTTACTTAGTGCAACTCTGTATCATCCCAAATTGCCGTTCACAGATTCAGTTCAGTCATAGACTCAATATGCACATGCCTATTTGTTCTGTTTCTAACTCTAATCGCCTTATTATGTATATCTTTTGCCACAAACCATATGAAATCCTTTTTCAAAGAGTAGGTTATAAAACCATTCAATGTATATATAAACATACACACACATATTTACATACATGTATACACACACCTGCTTCTACATTAATAGGCCAGAGACAGGCCACAGCACTCCAATCTGATTAGAAGGCAGCTATGCTCACCACGATACCACCAACGCCCGCTACCAATCTGATTAGAAAGGAGTCCTTGTGGGGAGACCGAACTGCTGTGTTTGGAGTGAGCCGGTAGGCATGAAATGAAGGAATTCATAGTTTCTAAGCAGTGAGTGACATGATGAAGTACATATTTTGGGGAGACTGGTCTACCAATAACAGATGCAACTGGAAATGAAAAAGCAGCGAGTGATGTTGGAAGGAAACACTAAGAAGTGTGATTACTGCCTTATTTTAGTTTCTGTGTTACCTTTTAGAATTGTTTAAGAAATGATCCCAAGGAGGGAAAACCCACAAGTGTTTCTTAGGGTAAGGGAACAAGATTATGTCAGGGAAAAAAAAAAGTATATCAAATGAGAATGGGAATAAGACCCACCACTAAGAGGCCCAGTTTTATCTTTGCAAATTCATAGGTAGCGAGCGGGTCCTTGGGCCTTCTAGAACTCAAACCAGACAGTGAAAATAATAATTAAATACTACAACTATTTTAATTCAGCCTTGGTTGATTTTAATTTAAAAAGGAAAGAAAAGCACAGGCCCAAAATTACCAGAGGGGTTAAAAGAAACTTTGCAAAGGACTTTGTGACACAAACATTTTTAGTGCGGGACTCTTGCCAATGAGACACTGAAGATGGATGTAGGCCTGCACTGGGCGGTGTAAGGACCTCTCGGCCAAGAAGACAAAATACATCTTTAAATTTCATTTTATGCATGCTCTACCTCTTGTGAAAATGTTCTTAGATGCTCGATAGCTACAGAGAAAGGTCTTCAGCAACATGTCGCTGCTCCGTATCGAGACTCTAATCTGAACCTTGAGACTGTATTGTCCTAGAAAATTGTATTTGCTGGAATGGTCACTATAAATAATTAAGTCTGTTCCGTTAAAGCTTTACACTATGATAGTTACATGAAATTGAATTCGCTCCCCGTTTATTTTAGAATTAATCCACAGGTGGTGACCCCACTAACCAAGTTGTAAGTAATCTCACCATAACGTGAACTTCCTTGTTAAGAACAATATTCAGCATTTGCCTCATTATCCATGATGCTTTTAGGTGGGTTTTACTGAAGAACTTTTTAAAAACTGTGTAAAACTGCATTCACTACAAGGCTTTGATTTTGTGCTCTGCCCTCCAATGCAACCATGTAGGTTGAGTGCCATCCGTATTTTACCCAGCCCAAACTCTTGAAATTTTGCCAACAACATGACATTGTCATTATCGCATATAGCCCTCTGGGGACCTCAAGGAATCCAAGCTGGTAAGTAAGGCTCTATGTCTGCTCAGGAGTGTTTCTTTTGGTGTAGAATGTGAGACTAATGTGAGTTACTTGAATGACATGACTATTTGGCTCTGTGATTTTAAGAAAGTAACTTAACCCTCTTTGAGCCATTCTCTGTGTATACAAATTGGAGCTAATAAAACCTCCCTCACAAAGGTGGAGTAAGAATTGATTATACTGTATGTGTAAAATTGCCTAGCAGTGCCTGAAACATAGGAAATGCTCCATAAATGTTAGTTTAGGTATTATTTGACAAAGATTCTCCATGACCAGATCCTGAAATTTTTGATTTTTTTTTTCTTTTTTTAAAATGTTTATTTTTGACACAGAGAGAGAACACGGTGCCACGGCACACAAGCAGAGGAGGGGCCAAATCTGAAGCAGGCTCCAGGCTCCCAGCTCTCAGCACAGAGCCTGATGCAGGGCTCGAACCCACAAACCATAAGATCATGACCTGAGCCAAAGTCAGACGCTTACCAGACTGAGCCACCCAGGCGCCGCAGAGAATTGTTTGAGCTCTGTGTTCAGTGGCAGCACTTGTGCTGTGTGTGATGTGTTCAACACACTTAAGTAGAAATTTTTCTACTCGAAGATGACTCCGAGAGTTGTGCCTCTGTTTGCTCCAACAGAGCCTTCCCCTGTGTACCTACTTCTAACCCAGTTATCTCCGTAAGACTCACCCAAGAAGCACTATTTACCCTCTGAAAGACACAGCTCTATAAATTTACCTCTTTATCTTTTCCTGATAAAAGCAACCCTTCGGGGTGCCTGGGTGGCTCAGTGGTTAGGTCTCCAACTCTTGACTTTGGCTCAGGTCATGATCTCACAGTTTGTGAGCTTGTGCTCTGCCTCAGGCTCCACACTGGTGGTATGGAGCCTGCTTGCTATTTCTCTCTCTCTCTCTCTCCCTCCCTCTCTCTCTCCCTCTCTCCCTCTGCCCCTTGCCCTGCTCACACTCTCTCTCCCAAAATAAATTTTAAAAATTAAAAAAAAAAAAAAAAAAAAGAGCAACTCTTCACTGAGTGCTCTGCACTCCAAGAAATTGGTTACAGGTGACCCAAAGTGTCCCGGTAGGTGAACAGGTGGATAGGGAGACGGAGGAGGAGGGCGATGGACTAACCATCCGTTGTCATGACTCAAGCTAAATATGATGCACGTTTTGATTTTTTTCAAGGGTGAATATATCATCCCCACCTTTGTTAAAGGATGAACTTCTAAACTCATTGGGGAAAAAATACAAGAAGACAGCAGCTCAAGTTGTTTTGCGTTTCAACATCCAGAGAGGAGTGGTTGTTATTCCTAAAAGCTTTAACCCTGAAAGGATCAAAGAAAACTTTCAAGTAAGAGAACTGCTTCAGTACATGTAAAACCTATAAGGCATTTTTGTTTTGGAGTCTGGGGTTTTTTTGTTTTGCTTTGTTTTAGAGAACTTCCTGTTAATTTAATTAATTGTAATGCCTTCACATTTTCTTTTATACCTGCTCCCCAATCCACAGTCTCTAGGTCTGAATTAACTGTAGCTGAGTTTGAGAGAGTCCCTAGTACTTTGAGGGTCTCCATGCTGCTTGTACATCACCTAGCTCCCTTACCCTTCTGTTTCCTTACCTATTGACTCTTACCTACTCACTTCTCCACCAGCACAGGAGCAATAGAAGGTATAGAACTTGAAATTCCTAATAGTAAACTTTCCACCTTCTTAATGGCTCTGGTAGAAGCGAGGAACAAACTTGGAAATCATTGAAGAAGATCATTAGACTTCATGAATGTCACTTGCCTTTATTTCCTCTGTAAATACTCCATGATCAGCACGGTGACTTACAGGCGAGAAAAGAGGCCACTAGACAAATGAGTGATTAGATTACCTTGCCTACTACTCAAGACTAAACTGCTAGGTAAATACAGCCATAGAAAAGTACCATGCAAAAGTAATTACTCATTAGTTAATAACTTAAGAAAGTGAGCTGCTTTTGTCTTGTTCATAATTAAAGAGGAAAATGAGATAGTATTTATCCCCTCAGATAGGAAAATAATCAGAATATTGAATATGTGGGAAAACATATTGCATATACTTGCATATACTCCTGTTAGAAACATTAATTGGCTTAAGATTTGGAGAAGCAGGATGTCACTTATCCATAGCCATCAAAATTCAAACCCACATATCCATTTGACCCAACAATCTCGATCCTATATTTCCACATACATGCATACAAACATGGATGTTTACTATTGCATGATTTATCATTTTTAAAACCTGGAAACAATCTCCAGTAGAATCTTATAAAACAAATTATAATATATTTGTATAATGAAATATATCGCCATTTTTAAATAGAGTGGAAATATAAATACTTCCATGGGAAGATATTCATGATATTAGACAATTTATCTTCAGAGATCTTTTGCTACCCCATGACAGAATGCAACTCAAACTCACCAAAGAAAGAGAGACATGATTTATTGGGTCACAGAACTGTAAATTCCATGGATACATCAGACATGACTGGGCACAGGTATGCAAATGATTTATAAAAGGACTGAGTTCTCTCTGTTCCTCTGTACTCCCCCCACCCCTTACCTTCTCTGTCTCCACATGGCAGCACAAACAGTCCCTGACATCTCCCGGCTAATCTATTACTCATATTCAGTGAACATGATCATAGGTAAAGGCTTCTGTGAGGGTCTCTATCCCTGATTGTCCCTTTGTGGGCCATGAGCCTCTGCCATATTAATCACTGTATCCAGTGAATAAGACACTTTGATTGCCCCCTTGGACTACATCCTGTACTGGAAATGGGTTCATGTGACAAACAGCCCTACGAGATGATAAAAGAGAAGTTCATAAAAGGAAAAAGGGGATTTTGTTACTAGCAAAAAGGGCAAAGAATGATAAACAGTTATACTACTACTCACAGTATTTTAGCACTTACCAAAGTACTTCTTACTAAAAGAGGTTGACACTGTTTTCAGGCATCTTAAAACAATAGGATATCTGCATGGCTAATGTATTGGTTCATCAAAAATTAAAACAAGTTTTAATGCACCTGAAACAAATGTTTTCATGGATTCAAAATTTTACTATTCAGAGATTGAGAGTAGTTACTAGTAGTCTGTGCAATGGAAGGTTAAAACCTTTGGAGTTTATATCATTTTGTGAATTACAATTTTGTACGGAAGAACTGTCATTCTCCTTAAAATTTTTATTGCAACTAATTCTGCTATATCCCATATATTTCCATAGCCCAGAGAATAGGGGATTGGAGTTCAGAGGTTCACATACCACAAGAAAACATGAAAGAGATACAAATTTACAAAGAAAATGACAGCTGAATTCACAGCCAATTTCCACTCTACAGGGTTTAGACTTGCCCTACCACCACAAATTTTGCTGGGTGTTAAAACCAATATTTGACAAAATAGAAAATTATTCCCTTCTAAACGGAAAATTATGAAAGTAATTTTAGTTATTTTACATTCAATAAAATTTACATTATAATTGCATATGTGTACTAAATGTTAGAAGAAACTGAGGTAAAATAAGCCTTAAAAAATATTGTATAAGATAGGAAATATCCACAAAACATAAAGGGTAAAGGGAAACTTAAATATATTTACAATAAAAGAAAAAGTCATAGAAATAAAAAATTGTGTAATAAAAATTAAGTTAAACCATAAACTTAAAAACTATATAAAATTAAGGGTGACAATGAAGAAAATAAAAAAGCAGGATATTTTTAACATTGAAACAAAAAATCAAATGATATCACCCACTATCCAGCCTGTTACCATCATCCACTGATCCCCATTCCTTGAAGGTTTTATCTCTTGATTCACTTTCCTTCTCTCCAACACTCCTCGCATCACAATTCTTCATGAATTCAACATACATAGGGATGGTCCTTCCAATCACCCTGCCTTATAGTTCTTTAATCTCCTCTCCCACGATGATCTTGCCCCATATATTTCAGCAACCAATTCCCACTGTGGAAACTGCAGTTACACTAACTGGAAACTGCAGTTACACTAACACCTAATAGCTCCTCCATACCCCCCAAACACCCCCCTCTCTCTCCTGCATTATCTCTCTGCTGCATAACTCCCATCAATATACAAACATGCTGTGACCTCAATCTTAAAAGGTAAAATCCAATCTAGACTCACTTTCCTCTCCACATATTATCCTTTTCTTTCTTCCTGTTTACAGCAAACCCCTTAAAAGAGAATTCTATTATCACAGCCTCCAAGTCCCTTTCCCCCAGTCTCCCTTAAACACAATGAAACCAAGCTTTCACCTGACCATTCCATTGAAACAGCTTGTCAAGGTCACCAGTGACCTCCTCATTGCCAGATCTAACAATCATTTTTCTGTCTTTGTCCTAGTAGATCTTTCAACATTTATACTTACAATTAACAGTTTCTTCTTCTTGAAACCTATGCCATCAGAGAAGCAGATGGAGGTGGTAGGAATATCAGGCACTCAGTTTTATAGTATGAGATCCTGAAAAAGTGAATAACAGGATAATTTGTGCCATGAAAAAAAATGCAAATCAATCCACATAAACTAAAGAAAAACATTGCATAGAAATAATGGAGGGAGGAGGAATTTGGAAGTTTACCTTAAAATTAAAACTGAAAATTATGAAAGTAATTTTAGTTATTTTATATTCAACAAAATTTACATTACAACTGCATATGTGTACTAAATGTTAGAACAAACTGAGTGAATCAGGATCGATTTTTTAAAATACGCTTGACAAAATTACATGATAACAGAATGTGACATTCTTCACATTCTTCACAAAGGTTTTTGCTAAGTGATCATAAAGAGAATAATTCTGGTAAAATTTCACAGAGCTTCATATGAAGGAGATTATTAATCCTTTGGCTTTTTCTTTCAGATCATTCTTTTGATATATCTCCCAAAGTAGTTTTTAACTGCATTAAATTCCTATTTGAAAAAGACTTTGCCTGTAGTTAGAGCAAACCTCCAAGATCGCTTTCAATGACTTCATGAAATCCTGCATCTTTGGCAAGATTTGTGACTTCGCTTTACGTTACATATTCACTGGAGTCGGAAAATGACTCACCAACACTTAAAAAGTGGGCCTAATGTTAAGCAAAAAGGAAGTTTGAGTAAGGATTTATTTTATAAGTGATTGGTCCAGTCATGACCATTTCTATGTTATGCATAGTTGTGATCCCTTACACAATCTCATAAACTCAATACTTGGATGATAAATAATCAAAGAAAAGCATTCCCTGAAAAGAGCACTGGGAAGTAATCCATCGGGGAAATGATTAGGTAAATCAGGTTATATCTATAATGAATGCAGTAGTTACAATCTATGTACAAAGTCAATCTATGTATTTTGACAGAATAGATAACCAAGACATATTATATGAATGAAAGAAAGTTGCATTAGTCTGCAAAAAGATATGATACAATTGCATTTTGCTCTTAGTGTGTTGAATGTTTGGAAGAAATGTCTGGGATGAAGAATAGGACTGGGGTGGTAGGTAAGAAGGAGACCTTCCACTTATTTCATACATGTCCATATGCTTCTTTGGTGTTTTAATTTTTACAAAAAAGCATATATTTATGTATTATATAATTAAAACTTATAAATGTAAATTACTAAAATAAAAGTTAAGGGATAGCGAGATAAAACAATAAGTAGAAGATAATTATAATCAAAACAAATGTTAAAAATGTAAATAAGCTAAAGTTAAATATTGAAATGTAAATAAAGAACAATTATAAAACCAGAGCATAAAGTGTGCAAGCTAAAATAAAACAATGAAAATGTAATATATTTAAAAGGTAGAAGATGACATTTAAAAATGATGAGAGAAATGATTGAGTCTAAAAGCAAATTAAAATTTCTTAAATGTTTACTCATTTTTGAGAGAGAGAGAGAGACAGAGCATGAGCAGAGGAGGGGCAGAGAGAGAGAAAGGGAGACAATGAATCCGAAGCAGGTTCCAGGTTCTGAGCTGTCAGCATAGAGCTGGACGCTGGGCTCGAACCCACCAACTGTGAGATCATGACCTGAGCCGAAGTCTGATGCTCAACTGACTGAGCTACCCAGGCACCCCAAAACAAATCAAATTAAAAGTTCAGGTGAACAACCCGGAGGGGGAAGAGATGCGCCCAGCATCCTGGAGTTTATCGGACGGACTCTAGGCCTGAGGTACAGAAACCCATCCATGAAGAGGAACACTTCCTGAAGGAAAATGAGATTATTTTGCAGCTGTCAGCAAGTGCTGTGGGGAGACTTACTCCTAAAATTCTGAAGCATGGTCTTTAAGAATGGCAGCGTGGGCTAACTAATTTGGATGTAAATTTTAAAAAATAAAAAATAAAATTAAAAAAAAAAAAGAATGGCAGCATGGGGGCGCCTGGGGGGCTCAGTTGGTCAAGTGTCTGACTCTTGGTTGATCTCATGGTCTGTGAGTTAGAGCCTTAAGTCAGGCTCTGTGCTGACAGTGAGGAGCCTGCTTAGATTTCTGTCTCCCTCGCTCTCGGCCCCTCCCCCGCTTATGCCCACGTATGCTCTCTCTCCAAAAAATAAATAAACTTATTTTTTTTAATTAAAAGTTAAAAAGTACATAAGCAAATTTAGAGACTAGGGAATATTTTTAAAAACACAGCACAGAGGCCATAGTCCAGAATAGGAAGTTCAGCATAATATCCAGAAACAATAAAAAATTCTTCACTCATGGAATTTTAAGAGTCCTAACACGTCCTAAACACGTGTTGTTGCAGAGCATTTGGAATGTCCCTCACGATGGCTCCATCAGGGGTATTTCTAAGACAAAGAATAGAATCCCATGTTGGGTGTGGCCCCCCAGCACCAGCCCAACTTCTTCCTCATTTGCAGACAGTCATAAATTTCTGTTTGACATAAAGTCTTTTGGGGTGCCTGGGGGGCTCAGTTGGTTAAGTGTTCCACTCTTGATTTCGGCTCAGGTCATGATCTCACAGTTCATGAGATTGAGTCCCTTACTGGGCTCTGTGCTGACGTCACAGAGCCTGCTTGGGATTTTCTCTCTCTGCCCGCCCCTGCTCTAAAAAAAAAAAAAAAAAGAAAAGAAAAGAAAGAAAAAAAAAAAAACTTAAAAAAAACTTTTATGTGTTTGTCACTAAATAACAGAGTGTCAACAGAAGTGAAGAACTGAAACACCTGACAGAACTGAAAGAAACAAATTAACAATCTTTGTATTGGTTTTTAAATTTACGTTCTAGTTAGTTAACATACAGTGTAATACTGGTTTCAGAAGTAGGATTTAGGGATTCCTCATTTACATATAACACCCAGTGTGTATCCCAAGTGCCCTCCTTAATCCCCATCACTCAACTAGTCCATCCCCCCCACACCTCCGTCGATCAACCCTCAGTTTGTTCTCTATAGTTAAGAGTCTGTTTCCTGATTTTCTTCCCCCCAGCCCACAGGTTCATCTGTTTTGCTGTTTTCTTTCTTAAACTTCACATGTGAGTGACATCATATGGTATATGTCTTTCTCTGACTTATTTCACTTACCATAATACCCTATAGCTCCATCCATGTCATTGCCAATGGCAAGATTTCATTCTTTTTGATGGCTGAGTAATATTCCATTATACATATCTCACATTTTCTTTTTTCATTCATCAGTTGACAGACGTTTTAGGCTCTTTCCATAATTTGGCTGTTGTTTTTGTTTTTTTAGTTTTTTTTTGTTTTTTTAGTTTTTTTTGCTTTTTGGAGGTTTTTTTGGCTGTTTATTAATAACACTGCTATAAACACCAAGGTGCGTGTGCCCCTTTAAATCAGTATGTTTTTATCCTTTGTATAAATACCTAGTAGTGCAATTTCTGGGTCATAAGATAGTTCTATTTTTAACTTTTTGAGGACCCTCCATACTGTTTTCCAGAATGGCTGCACCAGTTTGCACTCCCCCCGACAGTGCAAGAGGGTTCCCCTTTCTTCTCATTCTCACCAACATCTGTTGTTTCCCATGTTGTTAATTTTAGTCATTCTGACAGGTGTGAGGAAATAGCTCATTGTGGTTTTGATTTGCATTTCCCTGGTGATGAGTGATGTTGAGCATCTTGTCATGTACCCGTTAGCCATCTGTATGTCTTCTTTGGAAAAAAATGTCAGATCGTGTCTTCTGCCCATTTTTTAAGTGGATGACTAGTTTTTTGGGGGTGTTGAGTTTGATAAGTTCTTTACTGATTGTGGATACTAACCGGTGATCAGATAGGTCGTTTGCAAATATCTTCTCCCATTCTGTCAGTTGCCTTTTAGTTTTGTTGATTGTTTCCTTTGCTGTGCAGAAGCTTTTTATTTTGATGAGGCCCCTATAGTTTACTTTTGCTTTTGTTTCCCTTGCCTCTAGAGACGTGTCTAGTAAGAAGTTACTACAGCCAATGTCAATGGGTTTACGCCTGTGTTCTCCTTCAGGATTTTGATGGTTTCCTGTCTCACATGTAGGTCTTTCATCCATTCTGAATTTACTTTTGTGTGCGATGTCAAGTGGTCCAGTTTTCCCAGTACCATTTGTCGAAAAGACTGTCTTTTTTCTATTGGATATTATTTTCTGTTTTGTCAGATTAGTTGCCCTATAGTGTGGGTCCTTTCTGGGTTTTCTATTCTATTCCATTGACCTAAATGTCTGTTTTTATGACAGTACTATACTGTCTTAATCACTACAGCTTTGTAATATAGATTTTTTTTTTTTTAAGTTTTTTATTTTGAGAGAGAGAGAGAGAGAGCGGGAGGGTCAGAGAGAGAGAAGATCCCAAGCAGGCTCCACGCTGTCAGCTCAGAGCCTGACCCAGGGCTTGAACCCACGAACTGCGAGATCATGATCTGAGCTGAAACCAAGAGTCAGAAGCTTAACTGGCTGAGTCACCCAGGCACCCCTGTAATGTAGCTCTTAAAGTCTGGAATTGTGATGCCTCCAGCTCTGCTTTTCTTTTTCAAAATTGCTTTGTCTATTTCAGGGTCTTTTGTGGTTCCATACAAATTTTAGGAATGTTTGTTCTAGTTCTATGAAAAATGCTGATGGTATTTTGATGGGAATTGCATTGAATGTGTAGATTGCTTTGGGTGATATAGGGATTTTAACAATATTTATTCTTTTAATCTATTGGCATGGAATGTTTTTCCATTTCTTTGTGTCTTCATCCATTTCTTTCATCAGTGTTTTATAGTGTTCAGAGTACAGATCTTTTACCTCTTTGGGTAGGTTTATTCCTAGGTATCTTATGGTTTGGGGCGCACTTACAAATGGGATTGATTCCTTGATTTCTTTTTGTGCTTTGTTGCTGGTATTTAGAGATGCAACAGATTTCTGTACATTGATTTTGAATCCTGTGACTTTACTAAATTCACATATCGATGCTAGCAGTTTTGGGGAAGAATTTTTTGGTTTTCTATATAGAGTATCATGTCATCTGTAAAGAGTCAAAGTTTGACTCTTTCCCTGCTAATTTGGATGATTTCTGTTTCTTTTCATTGTCTTATTGCTGAGGCTAGGACTCCCAGTACTATGTCAAATAACAGTGGTGAGAGTGGACACCCTTGTCTGACTATAGGGGAAAAGCTCTCAATTTTTCCCCTTTGAGGATGATATTAGCTGTGGTTTTTGTATATGGCTTTTATGATGTTGAGCTATGTTCCCTCTAAGCCTACTTTGTTGAGGGTTTTTATCATGAATGGATGTTGTACTTTGTCAAATGCTTTTTCTGTGTCTATTGAGAGGATCATGTGATTCATACCCTTTCTTTTATTAATGTGGTATATCACATTGATTGATTTGCAACCACCCTTGCAGCCCAGGAATAAATCCCACTTGATCATGGTGAATAATTCTTTTAAAGATGTTCATAAATTTTTGAAGAGCTCCCATGGCTGGCCCCACTCCCTGATCCCAGGCTTGACCCATTTTCTATCTTCAAAAATATCTTTTATTTCTGTTATTTCAGATCTTTGACTTTTCTCTCACTGAAGAAGAAATGAAGGCCATCGAGGCCTTGAATAAAAATGTCCGCTTCGTGGAGATGCTCATGTGAGTTCAGGGGGACCACCCATCAAGTACTGCCCAGTGATTTTAGATTGTTCTGGGTCTATAGAAATCACAAGGGTAAAGGCCAGTGGGCAGCACGTTCTGAATATTAAACAGGTCTGGGTTTACATTCGCTCTAGGAACTTCCTACAAATCTATAGTTTTGCTTATAAGATTTCTGGCATTTATGACATCCCATGACTTAGGTTAAGGCATAGCAGGCTAAATATCTTGAAGAGAATTAAGTCATCAAGTGTATATATGTTAATACAACAGCAACACAAATATTCAAACCTATTTATTTATTCCTAAATATCAAGTGATACATAACGTAGAGCAAACTTATCGACAAAAAAGAAAGAGACAGAATAGTATAGTAGAAAGAATACCATGTAAGAAACTAAAAACCTAGAATTTTAGTTAAATGGCTGCCTATGAGATTTGGAGCTTCTAAGTCCACCTATTAGCTGATTCCCACAAGCAAAATCCTTACACTCCTTCAAAATATTGCTAAATTCAGCCAATCAACTGAAGTAGCCCTTTATTTTCTAAATAGTATAGGGCCTTTAAAATAACAAAACAATATAGTTCATACATATATAGTGTATGTATATACATATATATATACACACACATATATACACACATATGTTTATGTATACACATTTCTTTCCTTTATTCATTAGTATTCCTCAATAGTAATCTGTAATCTAAGTGAGCATTTAGAAAATGCTCATTAAGATAGTTCATACAGTTTGAACACTTATCTTATTGGTCCTACTATTTTTGTGAGTCAGAAAGTACACTAACTATGCTAATATCACATTTTTAAATTTTTTTTTTCAACGTTTATTTATTTTTGGGATAGAGAGAGACAGAGCATGAACGGGGGAGGGGCAGAGAGAGAGGGAGACACAGAATCGGAAACAGGCTCCAGGCTCTGAGCCATCAGCCCAGAGCCTGACGCGGGGCTCGAACTCACAGACCGCGAGATCGTGACCTGGCTGAAGTCGGACGCTTAACCGACTGCGCCACCCAGGTGCCCCAACATTTTTAAATCAATTTCTGAATTAATACAACAGCCTCCTAATGTGAATTTTCCAGGGTAAAACATTATTCAACATCAAAAGGTACCACCTAGCCTTGGGAATAAAATAGTAAACACAAACATAGACCTAACAAATACTTATGGGTTAATTAATAGCTGTTGAAGATAAACTATTTGTATTGAATAAATATCATTAAATTAAGAAAAGACAGTAAGAGATAGTCAATCCATTGTACTGATTTTTTTTTTACAGTTGGTGACATTATTTAGTTTGACATTTGACATATTTAATATCTAATTCCAGCTACACTGGGAAAATAACTCATCAGGAAATAACTAGAAAAATCAGCAAAGAGAAACAAACGTTAGGTTTCACTGATCATAAAAATGTACAATTTAGGGATGCTAGGCCACGATTCTTCTGTTTTTCATCCAGTTGGTCTTTGATTTGACATTGACATTAATATTTTAATTTAAAGCTCACAGTACTTGGGGCACCTAGGTGGCTTAGTTGGTTAAGTATCTGACTTTTGACCTCAGCTCAGGTCTTGTTCTCACAGTCATGATTTCGAGCCCCATGTTGGGATCCATGCTAGGCATGAAGCCTACTTAAAAAAAGGTAAAATAAAAAAATGAAGCTCATAATACTTGCCGAGAAACAGAGAATTGAATCTTAGACATGGTCATGGCAGGCACATACACATGCCAGTCTTTTTTTACTGACTGTTCCGTCATTGTTATTTAAGAGATACATTCATTATCATAGAAATTTACTTCACTGATCACTTTACTAGATCTCAGACTTTTGATTCTCTGGAGGTCTAGTGAGAAGGGCAGGTAAAACCTCTGAGAAGAGAGTGACACTGATGGGTAATAGAATTTTGAGGAGAAATGTTTATGTAGATCACTGGAATAGAAGGCAGCCTGTGTCAAAACAGCAGAGGGGAGGAAGGAGTTGAGAAGGGGCACAAGAACCCATGGGCAGGCACGCGCGCATACACACACACACACACACACACACACACACACACACACACACACACACCAGAATGCTATCCTGGCTTCAGTAAAAGATGATGGCTCAAGGGAAAATAAGAGACTGGGTGAGAACAGAGAAGGAATGAATTAAGGAGAGAGGGAGGGGTCTGTGAAACTGTCAAGGGGTGCTAGTAACACACAGCTGTGCAACGTTTACAGTGAGCTTTTTCTTTGGGGAATTGTTTTGACAGGTGGTGTGATCATCCCGAATACCCATTTCATGAGGAATACTGACTTCAGAGTGCCCTTGAATGGATTTTTCCCTCCCATGCATGCCAGAACCCTAGATGTAGAAATGAAAAGGTTTTACTATCCTTAAGTGATGTGTTGATGTTAACACTCTCAAGTTTTGTGCAGGATAAATAACTTTGGCTTAGGTATGTAAAGAAAAAGATGTTTAAATATGTTGAGATAATTGTTTGGAAACCATAAGCTAATATTTTATTAGATCAAGGTCTTCTGGGTTCCTGACAGAAAGACATTAGGCTTTAGGAGAGATTTCAGAGGCAATATATGATAATAAGAAACCCATGAATCTGATTACTGCCATTAAGTCTGAACTCCTTACTTTAGCAGTTAACAGGACAACAAAGAGGGTGGAGAGCTGGCACAAGCCAGTGCTGACAATGACCTTGATGATTTGGAACACTGACTGTAATATAGACACTTCCAAGATAAGATCCACACATGCATTATTAACAAGGAAGTGATTTGCTACACCTTGTATAAAGAGAAAGGGCTAAGTGTAGAAAAGTCTTAAAATAGAGCTAATTAAACAGCACAGTGGTCACCAAAGACACAATGATTTAGTTGTTTGTTTCCACCCAATGGGGGTTAGTTTAGCTTTTACCCAGTTTGAGGGATTGATAATTGCTTGTTCTCTCTTGCATGCTTTCAAGGGCTTGTGTGTGAACATAACTAGTGATCCATACTTACACTGCCTATTACTCTTGCTCTACTCATCCTATAAACATCATTATGTGAAGTGGCTTGAGACAACCAACATACACAAATAAAATCCTGAATCATAAAATAATCCGAAGATGATTATTTTAAAAGAAGACATTCAAAAAGGACACTTTAGGAGTGCCTGGATGGCTCAATCAGTGCAGTGTGTGACTCTTGATCTCAGGGTTGTGAGTTCAAGTCCCACATTGGGTGTAGAGATTACTTAAAAATAAAACCTTTACGGGGTGCCTGGGTGGCGCAGTTGGTTAAGCGTCCAACTTCAGCTAGGTCACGATCTCGCGGTCCGGGAGTTCGAGCCCCGCGTTGGGCTCTGGGCTGATGGCTCAGAGCCTGGAGCCTGTTTCTGATTCTGTGTCTCCCTCTCTCTCTGCCCCTCCCCCGTTCATGCTCTGTCTCTCTCTATCCCAAAAATAAATAAAACGTTGAAAAAAATTTTTTTAAAAATAAAACCTTTAAATTAAATTAAATTAAATTAAATTAAATTAAAGTTTAAAATGGGCTTTATAAAATTTTTATACTTAGGGGTGACTGGGTGGCTCAGTCAGTTAAGCATCTGATTCTGGATCTCAGTTTGGGTCATGATCTCACAGTTCATGGGTTTGAGCCCCACATTGGCCTCTGCGCTTACAGCATGGAGCCTGATTGGAATTCTCCCTCCCTTTCTCTGCCCCTACCCCACTCGTGATCTCTTTCTCTCTCAAAATAAATAAACTATAAAAAAAATTATTATACTTAGTACTTTGAAAGTGTTATTGGAATAACTGAATTTCAAGAAACTAGCAAGTTCAAAAGAACACTATTAATTATACTATATGTAATTTTTAATATTTGAGTGAGAAGATTATTGGAATTCTGCAATAGAGATGTACTGATTTTCAATTCAACTAGAGCAATGTCTTTCTTTTCATTCATATTAAGTCACTCTCACAAGCCAAGAGAGTGCTTCAAAAATTATGTCTTTCCAAGACCAATTACTTACAGATAATCTTCAGTGACCTGAAAACATATATTTCTGAGAAATTATCAAGAAAATTTGATCTATACTCACTGTTTCCACTGATTCTAATATAATGCTGTCTTCTAGAAAGTATTTTGTTTACAAGAAATTATAAAATGTGATGATTTATTGTACCTCATGAATCTCCATTTTGTTCCTAAAGGCAGGGAAGGGGAAAAATTATCTGAAATCAATTCAGTTAAAACAAAAAACAAAAAACAAAAAACCTTTGATTAAGTTCTTACTGGACATTTAGCACTGGGAAGAAGGAAGAAACAGGGGTATCGGTGCAAGAACAGAAACTTAAGCCCTGTTGCCTGATATCAAACTTCTTCAAAATATTTTGGGAGACTGGTGTGGAGGAGGGACCATACCTAACAAACCATTTTTAAAATAAAGGCATTGAGAAAGAGTCCTGCCATTTTTCAGGAGGAAAAAATATGGGTTAAGATTAGAAGAGTGGAACCCTATCTTAGTTATAACAGAGATGAGGGGGAAAGAGTTGGAGACTTAAAACAGGAAGGTCAGGAAAGAGTGACAGTCTGATATGAGTTTCTGCATATGTCACCTCTTCCTATGCTCTCATCCCTCTCAAGCTTCCCATCTATTTTGGGATGAATTTCATCCCCACTCCTCCCCTCAAAATTCAAACCTTAATTTGAATTTTGCACCTCAGAATGTGACCTTATTTGGAAATAGTGTCATTGCGTGTGTAATTTGTTACAATATGGTCATAATAGAGTAGGGTGGCCCCTAATCCAGTATGACTAGTGCCTTATAAAAAAGGAAAATTTGGACACAGACAACATACAGGGAAAACACTATGTACGGATCAAAGCAGAGATCAGGGTGATGCTTTTACAAGTAAAAGAACCCTAAACTTTTCCAGCAAACCACCTGAAGGTAGCAGAGAGGTGTGTAACAGATTCTCCCTCACAGCCCTTAGAAGGAACTAACCCTGGTGACACCTTGATCTCAGGCTTCTGGCCTCCAGAACTGTGAGTTGATATATTTCTGTTGTTTAAGCCACTTGGTTTGTGGCACTTGGTTATAGCAGCCCTAGCAAACAAATACACCATTCCTCAGTCAAGAGGGAGGTTAAAGAACATGAATAGGTCAACCAGAAAATCAAGTTATTAAAAAAAAATACATGGAAACAAATGAAAATGCAAACACAACAATCCCAAACCCTTAGGATGCAGCAAAAACTCTACTAAGAGGGAATTATATAGCAATACAGGCCTACCTCAAGAGGCAAGAAAAATCTCAAATAAACGATCTAAACTTATACCTAAAAGAGATAGAAAAAGAACAACAAATGAAGCCTAAAGTCAGTAGAAGAGGCAAATAATAAAGATTAGAGCAGAAATAAGTGATAGAACCAGCAACAACAACAAAACAGTAGAACTGATCAATGAAACTAAAAGCTGGTTCCTTGAAAAAATTAATAAAATTGATAAACTTCTTACTAGTAAGACTTATCAAAAAGAAAAGAGAAAGGACCCAAATAAATAAAATTGCAAATGAGAGAGGAGAAATAACCACCAAACCCACAGAAGTACAATTATAAGAGAATATTATGAAAAGCTATTTGCCAACAAATTGGATAACCTGGAAGAAATGGATAAATTCCTAGAAACATACAAACTACCAAAATTGAAACAGGAAGAAACAGAAAACATGAACAGATCAATAACCAGCAAAGAAATTGAATCCGTAATCACAAATTGCCCAACACACAGAAGTCCGGGGCCAGATGATTTCACAGAGGAATTCTACCAAACATTGAAAGAAGAATTAATACCTCTTCTTCTCAAATATTTCCAAACATAGAAATGGATGTAATACTTCCAAACTCATTCTATGAAGCCAGTATTACCCTGATTCCAAAACCAGACAAAGACTTCACTAATAAAGAGAACTACAGGCCATTATCCCTGATGCAATTGGATACAAAAATTCTCAACAAGATCTGGTAAATTGAATACAACAGTAAACTAAAAGAATCACTCACCATGATCAAGTGGGATTTATTTCTGGGCTATAAGGGTGGTTCAATATTTGCAAATCAATCAATGTGGTACACCACATTAATAAAACAACCATATGTTCCTCTCAGTAGATGTGGAAAAAGCATTTGACAAAGTATAGCATCCATTCTTGATAAAAACTCTCAACAAAGTAGGGTTAGAGGGAACATACCTCAACATCATGAAGGCCATATATGAAAAATCCATAGCTAACATCATCCTCAATGGGGAAAAATTGAGAACTTTTTCTCTATGGTCAGGAACAAGACAGGGATGTCCACTATTTTTTTTTTTTTACATTTATTTATTTATTTTTGGGAGACAGAGCATGAGCAGGGGAGGGGCAGAGAGAGAGGGAGACAAGAATCAGAAGCAGGCTCCCGGCTCCCAGCTGTCAGTACAGAGCATCATGCGGGGCTCGAACCCACGAACTGTGAGATCATGACCTGAACCAAAGTCGGGCACTTAACCAACTGAGCCACCCAGGCACCCCGATGTCAACTCTTACCATTGTTATTTAACATAGTACTGGAAGGCCTAGCCTCAGCAGTCAGCAAAAGGAAATAAAAGGCATCCAAATCAGCAAGGAAGAAGTCAAATTTTCACTATTTGCAGGTGACATGATGCACTATGTAGAAAACCAAAAGACTCCACCAAAAAATTGCTAGAACTGATACACGAATTAAGTAAAGTTGCAGGACACAAAATCAACACAGATATCTGTTGCATTTCTATACACCAATAGTGAAGCAGCACAAAGGGAAATCAAGGAATCGATCCCATTTAGAATTTCACCAAAAACTATGATACCTAGGAATAAACCTAACCAAAGAGGTAAAAGATCTACATTCTAAAAACTGTAAAACACTGATAAAAGAAATTGAGGAAGACACAAAGAAATGGAAAAACGTTCCATGCTAATGGAGTAGAAGAACAAATATTGTTGAAATGCCTATATCACCCAAAGCAATCTACACATTCAATGCAATCCCTACCAAAATACCATTAGCATTTTTCATAGAGCTAGAACAAACATTCCTAAAATTTGTATGGAACTACAAAAGATACTGAATAGCCAAAGCAGTTTTGAAAAAGTAAAGCAAAGCTGGAGGCATCACGATTCCAGACTTCAAGAGCTATATTACAAAGCTGTAGTGATCAAGGCAGTATAGTACCGGCACAAAAACAGATATATAGATCAATGGAACAGAATAGAAAACCCAGAAAAGGATCCACATTGCATGGTCAACTAATCTATCAAAACAGGAAAGAATATCCAGTGGAAAAAAGACAGTCTCTTCAACAAATGGTGTTGGAAAACCT